TTTTTTTTTTTTTTAACTAGCTAACATTGCGTTGGCAAAAGAAGGGGTTAAGTTCTCTTGCCTTTGTCCTTGAACTTTAAACTTTACACTTTTTTGGTCCTCACACGAATTTAGTCCTTAAACTAATTATAAAAATCTATTTTAAGAGACAAAAAACCGTTTAGGCAAGAGACCTTTTGTGCACATCTAAGAGTTAAGAGATGAAAAAATGCTTAAATTAGTTCAGGAATGAAAAAGTGTAAAGTTTAAAGTTAATAGACTAAAATTAACATTAAACCAAAAAAAAAAAAAGATAGGATAGTACAAGAAACTTAGAAAACTACAAGGTGTTTGGATTAGTGGTTTGAATGTAGTAAATACAGTTGATATCGAGAGATTGATAGTTATTTTTATTTATAATCTAAATATTTTATTTGTCAAATTAACTCAAACGGCAAACCTCAAATCTTTTTACTAATTAAACATCACTAACATTAATGGGGAGTTCAATTCCCATAACAGCCACAATAAAAAATCCTCACATCACAAGGAGAGCTATCATAAAAAACACAATCTTGACGAGCATCATGCCCCAGTCTGAAAATTTGACTCACTGGCATGTTAGATTCCAAACTATGTAGGAGATTTCAACGTAATTAATTTGTTGAATAATGTCCCAACAGTTAAGTTAAATCAAACCAAAACTTAATTAGAGTTTGGCCCAATTTTATATTCATTGTATGTGCTAAATAATAAATAAATTGTGACAAACTTATTTAGTTGACTCAAGGGATATTAAGTGATGTAAATCATGCGAGAAATGTAAGTTTAAATCCCTTTCTCACCAATTGTTTGCTTACAATTTTAATGAATTCATCACCCATGTGTGGGGATTTACGTAAGTAATACATATAAATGAAATGTGTAGTTTGCTTGCACGTATGGGATTGGTGAAATGTCAAATTTTGTCTTTAAATTTTTAATTTTAAAAAATTTTAGTTTCTAAACTATTTTTAGTGCTCTTTTCATCCCTTAACTACAAAAAATATATATTTTTTGCTATTCTGTCAGTTTTGTCCGTTAAGTTTGTCTAACTAAATTTTTTTTAAATTTCTTTAATTACCTAAATATGCATAAAACAAAAGTTTAGAAATTAAAAATATATAACAAACATTAGTTTAGGGACCAAAATTTGAGTAAAACCAAAGTTTAAGGACCAAAGAATGCCAACCGTACAGTCCCAGTGGACAAGATAAACATAATGGTAAAAAAAATATATTTTTCATAATTAAGGAACAAAAAAATGAAAAAAATAATTTAAAGATTAAAATTATTTAAAATTAAAATTTTAAGGATTAAATTTGACAGTTAACCTATGTAACTAGTCACTATCCTACCTAACCAAAATGATAATACTATGAATTTGATTTTGTAACTTAATCTCTTTCTTCACTTGTTTTCATATTTTAACTTAAAAATAAGTAAGGCGATTTTGTGTATCCAACCTACTTTCAATTAAACTTAAACTTACTTTCAATTTGGTTTGGCAACTAATTAAAACTACAGGGGATTGAACTTACTTTCATTATTTTGAATAAGTTGGTTAGGTCATGGACGTCACCAATAGAAGAGGTAGAGTTGCAACATGACCATGACATGGATAAGTTGGCCAAATAAAAATAATTTTGAGTAAAAGTGGTTGGTTGGATGTCTATTTCAGATTACAAAGCCATGGAAAGAAGCTAAAGTACGTGTACGACATTGCTATTCCAGAGAGTTGGAACATTGTTAGATGCAGACTCAAGAAACAGCCTGGCTTTGAAAGCTATGTTCATGTGCCTTTTTCCTTTCTCTTCTATCACGTCTAATTCTTACCTATTCTTGGCACAAAATTCCCACATGCCCACTAATGGGGATGGACCCATTCCTTCTCCAGCCAGTATTAGTATACCCTTCCTTTCTTTGAAATGTTTTCTTTTTTTTTTTGTTATAGAAAAACAGAAGTTAATTTATCAATCGCTTTATTAAAATCATTCACGTAATATTATTGTTGAAAACGAAGTTAACCTTTTTTTTTTGAACAATTGGTCATGGGACGGGTTGAACCCACTAAGGGAAGGGAATGCACTTTTCATCATGGTAGTTGTCACTAAGTCCGAAGGTCAGGTACGAAAACGAAGTTAACTTTTTTATACAAATTAATAGAGAAAAATGTAATAAATACACTTTCTACATATTTTAAAAGAACTTTTCTTTAAATTAATTCCTTTTTGTTGGTTAGGGGAAGAGTGAAACTCCTTTTCATTTTTGGCAAAAAAAAAATAAAAATTGCTAAAACTTGACCTGGAACTTACCAACTAGATAATAATTAGATTTTGAACAACAAGTATAACTCAGTTAATAAGAATTTGAGATTTTAAATTTATGAATTAAAAAAAATGGTTATCCTATGTTGAATTATTGTAAATTGCACAAAAAAAAAAAAAGATTTTCAATTAACAGTTTCCATTGGATTCTTCTTCCTTTTCTTTGTTATCTGAAATGTCCTCTGCGATTCAGTTTTTCATATTTCTTTTATTTTTATTTTTGATATACAAAAAAGTTTACGTATTTAATTATTGTAAATATCTAATTACAAGTGGTGTCTTAAATAATAAGAGCTTATGACACAAAAATATAAGTTTTAAATTTAAATTTCGAGATGAGAGGAAAAAGATCTAAAAAAAAAAGACTATTATTTGCTGTATAATTCACTCATCAGAAGAAAAAAAAAAAAAAAAGATAATCAGATTTTCAGCTAACCTCTTCCATTGGGTTCTTTGTTTTTTCCCTTTTTTTTTCGCCATGTCCTTTGAGTTCATTTTCTCTTTATTATTTTTGGGTATACAAGTATGTGCATTTAGTTAGTGTAGAGATCTAAAGCATTAACGTTCAGTTATTCTTATTTGTTTTGAAATCCATTAGTAGGCTTGGAAATTCCAGATCTATTGATATCTGGATTTGATTTTGAGCTCTCAAAAGCCATAATTTTCCTTGTCTCAATTAATCAAATATCACATCTACTTTTATGAGTTAAAAACAGAACATGCTAAAGAGGTTAGCCCCGTAGCTGCTTATTTAAGCAGTGAAAACCATTTTAAAGGGCCAATATGTTTCTTACAAAAGAAAAAGATTGCAACTTGGAAAAGTAAAGAGCGTGTGATGGAACTGGGCACTTTCAAACTATTGCACCAACCAATTGTAAAGATGCTTAAGAGTTTTTCTTGCACGAGCCTTCTAGACTTGGAAGTCAATCCTAAATTGGTAATCACTTCATCTTCCATGTGAATGAGAATGAGTGGAGTGTTTGATCAACAGCCTCGCAATTATATATGGTTGACCAAAATAAAACATGAATAGACTTACAAAGTGATCAATGGGTTGATCAAATGACACCATGGCGAGGAAATGAGTGCTAATAAATACAAGGGTTGAGTAAATTTTTTTTTTTTGTTTTATTTATGTTTTTTTAACATGTAAAAGTAAAAGTTAAGAGTGTAATAAATATATTTTTTTGTTATAAGTTTTTATTAAAAAAGTAAATATTGGCTTTTAATTTATCAATAAGGAGAAATTTACTTATATATAAATTTTACACATTACATTTACACAAAATATTGACTATTCATCTCTCTACTTTCAATGATTAAGATTTATCATGACTTTTTAGATAAAAAATAATTATTTTTAATAAATATGAATAAATCTCAACCATTAAAAATAGAAAGATGGATGATTAAGATTTTGTATAAGTATAATATGCAAGACATGTGTACAAGTGAATTGTTACTCTTTATCAATTGTTTAATTAAATTTATCTACTTAATACCAATACTAAAATTAATGTCAATTTTTATATTTTTCTGTATACATTTATGGCAAAAAGATATCTTAAGGTATAAATTAGAAGAACCCTTATTTATTTATTTATTTTTAAAAAGTGACACTTTTGTTTCTCTATGGTCACTTTTATTATGTAATTAATAAGATTTGTTAATTAATAAGATTTGTTTATATATATATATATATATTAAGAGTTAGCCAAGTAGCTACTTGGCGTGATTTTAATTTTAAATTAAAAATTTTAATTTAATAGATACCAATTTAGTAAAACTCTTATTATTTAAAAACTAAAAAGAAAATGAGATACTTTTGGTCCCTCCTTGATGTTGTTACATGACATCCACGATGTAGGGACAAAAAAAGTGCCCCATTTATTTTTTTGATGAACAAAGTGCCCCTTTCTTGAAATTAGAGGGATGGAAGTGTTCATTTTTTCTTTTTTCTTTTTTTAAGTATGAGTGACAAAATGTACACCCTTCAATTTTAAAAAGGATAGAGTGAAATTAATTGTAAAAGGTTAAGAAGTTATTTTAAACACAGAGCAAGCGAAACAAGTTCAGAACCACAAATGAAAACAAATTAAAAGAAGCTCAAGAAAACTCAAATTGACCAATCTTAACACCAATATATGGTTTTGCTTGTGTTTAAACTATATATATAATCTCCCTCATTGACCAATAGTTTTGGTCTCTCGGCGGATAAGCAATGAACCCATTCAATCATGCAATATATATTGTAAGAGTTAAAAGAAGAAAACAACATCATTTTTCTCTAGCTATTGAAGGAGCAAGGAGGTTGTCCTACTTCTTTTGTTTCTTCCCCCATTTCATGTCCTGCAATTGGCTTGAAAAAAAAAAAAAAAAACGGAAGATGTGCGGGACTGGGGTAGCTGGAGCTTGAACTGAGCTTAAAATATACATCTAAGATAGTATCTTGAACCGAAAAAGTTAGCTTATCACTAAGTTGGGTCTTCACACATACATATATGTAATTTATTAGTCCGAATTGCGAAAATTTTGGTGGAAATATATCACAAAACAACACCATTTTGCCCTCATCAACATATATACTCCTCTTACTCATCATTTCTCTTCTATGTGGGACAATGACACCTTACATGTGAATCCAACAAAGAAAAAGGAGGAGCAAAATATTCCTCTGCATGCACCCTCAAAAGAAAATGATCACACAATTGTTTCTCCTGACAGATCATACAAGTTTACTGTGAAACTTCATTATGAGATAAAATTGTGTATTGACCTCCCATTCAAAATGACATTTTAATTACGGTATCATAAAAAGAAAATTTGGAAACAACATGTCTACAGTTGTTTGCCATGTCTCTAAAGAACTAAAAGAAGTTAGTATAGATAACTTTTGCAAGACTGCAATGG